GTATGTGAGGAGTGTCTCCACATCCCAAACACAAGTATGTCATCTGCAATGACTTCAATACCAGGAATATCATCCAATGCGTCATGAAGGCGGCGTTGGAATTCTTCCGAAGCTGATGAAATACCAAACGGCATCCGTACATATCTGTACCTGCCAAAAGGTGTCCAGAACGTTGTCAGGTAGGAGCTTTGTTCATCCAGTTTGACCTGATGGAAACCATCTTTGGCATCTAGAATCGAGAATACTTTGGCATCGGATAACTTAGGTAGAATTTCGTCTAGCGTTGGCATCTGATACTTGGGACGTTTAATTGCTCGATTTAAATCTCTGGGATCAAGACATACTCTCAACTTGTTTGGTTTCAGAACAACTACAATACTGCTTATCCAGTCTGTGGATTTAGTAACTTTCTTTATTATGCCTTTCCTTTCCATTTCATTTATTTTGGCTTTCAATTTTGCTTTCAGTGGAATGGGAACGCGTCTTGGTACATGCTGTACTGGCTTAATAGTTGAGTCTATTTCAATTTTGTATTCACCAGGCAGGCACCCTAGACCTTCAAACACATCATTGTATTGTTTGATGACGTTATCTTTAGATGTGCATGTAGGAGTTGCTTCCTGTGAAATACTATTCACAACATTAAGAGTAATCAGTCCCATATTTGTACATGTATCACCAGATAGTAGTGGTTTCTGTTTTCCTGCTATAACTTTGAAGTTCAGTGTGTATTCTTTATCTTTAACTTTGCAGATTAGGTTACATTCACCAATAGCATTTACTATGCTATCGTCATAGAGCTTCAACCTTGCTGTTGTTTTCTCTAATGCTGGCTTGCCATGCTGTTTTATGTCACACAGGTCATTATATGTCATCACATTACAGGTTGCACCAGTGTCTAATTGACAATTTATTCTTGTTTCACCAGTCGTATCTCGAAATGTTATTGGTATATAGAATTTCTTTCTATGTCCATATTGAACTGCACCAATAGTATCTATCTTAAATATGGAATCATCAGAATCTGATACTTCATCCTGCAGCTGGTGTAGATTCTGTTGTACTTGACGCTTCTGTTTGCATACAGATTGAAAGTGATTTTGCTTACCACAATTCCTGCAAGTCTTACCATAGGCTGGACATTTGTTCTTGTCACGTTCATGGTTGCTACCACAATATCTACACTGGGAGGACTTATCTTTCGTTTGCTTATACTTGGGTCTTTCTTTGCGTTGCTCAGTATATTTATGTCGATTGCTTTCTGTATGTTTACCTCCTTTCTTTACATAGTTGACTGGGTTTACTGTGACATCATTTCCCATTTGACTTAGCTGTTGCCGTGAAACTTCACTTATTCTAAGCGATTCTATGACTTTGTGTAAGTCACTTGCTTGCTCTCTGAATAATCTTGCTCTTGCTATGGAATCTTTACAGCCAAGGACCAATCTATCTCTAACCATCTCATCTTCGAATGTGCCAAATTTGCATGGTTCAGCTAACTGACGTAGTCGGATTACTAACTGGTCTATGGTTTCATTGGGTTGTTGTTCTGCGTTGTGAAAAACATATCTTTCATACAGAACGTTGCGTTTTGGTACAAAGTGTGCTTCTAACTTATCTAAGATTGTCTGAGGCTCTTTCATTTCATCATCTGTGAGTTGCAATCTTTTCAGTATTTTCTTACACTCTGTACCCATTAACATCTTAAGAGTTAGCAACTTGGATGGGTTTATCTTTCTTATCAAGCTCAGTGGCTGTTT